TGTCAGTCAGTGTGTGTTTAGGGCGGGAACTAATCACTTCAACCCTCCCTCTACTCGCACACACACACGGATCCAATCCCAGCAGAACCCGCGATTAATAATTAACGACCGAAGCAAAAATAAATTAGGTTGTCGTCACCGTCCGCGCCTTTTTTGTTTTGTTTTCATTTATTAATTTATGCTGTACGGAAGCATTTTGCATTCGCTTGAAGAAAAAAAAATCTACTCCGTTTTTCTGATTTAACGAGTTAATTATCTCAGAATTACGAGATAATTTTAAACAGAAAAAAAGTGTATGCTCCGTTTGAGTTACTCATAATAAAAAAATTATGAGTAACTCATTAATTCATAAAAACAGAGTGAAAAAATTTTTTTTCAAGAAAAATATATCTCATAATTCTTAGACAATTAACTCATTAATTAAGAAAAACTTTTTCTATGAAAAATTCTCTAGTAATTCTGATATAATTAACTTGTTAATTCAGAAAAACTGTAGATTTTGTTTCCTCAAGTGAATGCAATACGTTGAATGAATGAACGTGTGCACTGTAAACAAAAAATGAACAAATAAAAATCAGGAAGGTTTGTTATTTATTCATTTTTATATTTATATACATATTTTTTCTTATATGTGGAGAGTTTTCATGGCATCTGTTTGTATATAGTTCAGTGAGCCTTGATTTGTATCTGGTATGTTAACTCAAAATAAAAAATATTGATCGCAAAAAAAATAAGGTTTGTTATTACAACATATGTTTTTATATTGCTTTAACTCAAAGTAAGTTAAGCAATTTTCAACTTTTTTTTAAAATGGTATACAATATTCAACTATTTTTTTAAGTCAGTTAAATTTAAGTTGAACTTACTAAAACATCCAAGTTGGTTGAACTTAAAAATTTAAGGGAGCAAATTTTCTATCACGTTCCTTTTAAATTAAAACCGGTCAGAAATGTCACTTGACATCATATGTGTAGAGTATATTGTTAATATTGGGGACATATTGTGTAAATTCTCATCAGTTGTCTAATAAAAATTACATTGAACTTACAAAAATTTGTAAAGAAATCTGCTTTAAAAAAGAAAAGAAGTGCTGGCAACAATATATAGACAAAGCATTTTAGTGAACACTGGACTTTTACACACACACAAATAAAGAAAAACAAGCAAAGTCAAAACTTTTAAACTCTTGATATAGTTTTGCATCAGGTGATATTATATTTAGATAATTTGTTAGTCACTTTTTATAAAAACAAAAAAAATGCGCCATCTAGTGGCTGACTAATTTCAACATTTACAATATAAGATAAAGCTGCAAATAATAAATAAAACAAGCTGTTTGCCAGCCTATCATGGGAACTTAAATCATGTTTTTATATGCCAACCAACACTCACAAGAAACATTCAAATCTGATGCATATTAATAAATATTCTTTATTTAGTAAATTTTGCACATTGCTTTCATCATCACATCCAATCTTCTTTATAAATGGATGTTTTCATCTTCCTGTAAAATCCATGATTCAGATCATTTTATTCCTGTACACATTTATCGGTACAATTCGCCACTAAAACGCTCACAGTCTGGGAGAAAACAAAAACAAAACAAAGAAATGCTTCACAAACAATACGTTAAGACTACCGACATCTAACCCTACAGCCAAGCTCGATTATCATTTTAACGACCTGCTCCCTAATCACCGTGTCGAGAGAGAAAGGAAAACAAAGCCAGCTGTGATTGGCTGAGAAGTGAAAGAGGAGGAGCCTGAAGGGGAAGACGTGTGTACAGATGCGAAAACGACGTGGACCTTTACCCAAAAAACATTGATTCTTTTGCCCATTTCATATTCCCAAATTCCTCCCTGAATAAAGCAACGACGCAGCAGTGATCATCATGAGTGTTTTGACGGTCTATAAAAGTAAGTGTGTGTTAGTGAGCGTGTGCGGTGGGCAGCCACTCTCCGCGGCAGTATTTGGTGAAGCGATCTTTAAGGTGCTGTCTGTACTGGTCTCGTGTTCGGTAGAAGGACTTGTTGTTCTCCACGAACGACTGGATCTCGTCCTGTGTCAGGCAGTTCTCTTCATCGGAGGTCACTTCAGATTCATTCTGTGCAAAAATAAATCAATAAATCAATATATGCACCTATTTCGATAAACAAACAGTAGTGAAAAATTACAATTTCACATTTTTTTTGTATGAACTGACTGTATTAGACAGCTTATAATTATGTAATGCATGTATAAGCTACCTTATAATTACAATGTCAGCTTGCTTATCCCTTTTTAAATTCTTTCCATCAAGCTACATCAAACCATTTAAAAAAAAAGAAAAGTAAATGTTATTTATTAGGATAAACCCCTTGAGATGCAACATCTCGTTTTCAAGGGGGTCACAGCCATCACAAAAGAACACTAATCAAATAAACAAAAGAACAATTATACATATTGGACAAACAAATACATACGGAAACACAAACACAAAAAAAACAAAAAAAAAAACAAAACAAACAAAAAACCCCACTATATATATATATATATATATGAAGAGTTCAGATGCAAAAGCCTCTAAATGCCATTTGAAATTTTCTTCTTTAATGATGATTTTTATCAAACTTGTATATTTAAGTTCAGTAATTTCACTTAAATGGCAATGATAATTACCTATTAATTGTTATTTATGTGAAATTACTGAACTTAAATATACAAGTTTGATAAAAATCATCATTAAAGAAGAAAATTTCAAATGGCACTTAGAGGCTTTTGCATCTGAACTCTTCATATATATATATATATATATATATATATATATATTAGGGCTGTGCAAAAATTAATTGCGATTAATCGCATCCAAAATAAAAGTCTGTGTTTACATAATATATTTGTGTGTGCTATATAATTATTTTGTATAAATACAAACACATGCATGTATATATTTAAGAAAATGTGTTATTCATATATAAAATATTTATATAATATAGATTTTGTATTTATATATATATATATATATACAGAATTTAAGCGCAAATAATTCTTAAATATATACATCCATCCATAGGTATTTACATATACAAAATAATTATATACAGCATACACAAATATATTATGTAAACACAGACTTTTATTTTGGATGCGATTAATCACAATTAATTTTTGCACAGCCCTAATATAGTATATACATATACATATATATATACATATATATATATATGAAGAGTTCAGATGCAAAAGCCTCTAAATGCCATTTGAAATTTTCTTCTTTATTGATGATTTTTATCAAACTTGTATATTTAAGTTCAGTAATTTCACTTAAATAACAATTAATAGGTAATTATCATTGCCATTTAAGTGAAATTACTGAACTTAAATATACAAGTTTGATAAAAAAAATCATCATTAAAGAAGAAAATTTCAAATGGCATTTAGAGGCTTTTGCATCTGAACTCTTCATATATATATATATATATATATATATATACATACATATATATAAAGTAAAAAATAATAAATAAATAGAAAAACAATAATATTAACCAAAATAAGCAGAACTTTACAACCACTAGATCAAATTGGCAGAAATACATTTGAATATTTCAAATGTATATATATATATAAGCATTTGGATAAGCATTAAGTATATATAAGCATTTGGATCACATTGTGTCAGCATCATACATTACAAGAGCAGTCAATCACAAAGTAAGAAGACAAAGTACACTTAAACATCCCAAATAGGATCTACTATCCGAAGGTAAATTATTCCAGTCTAAAGTGGCTTTATAAACATAAAAGCTCTTTTGCCAACAGTCTTCTTGGCTCAGGGGACAAGGAAAAAAAGCTGAACAGAGTGCCTCAAATGATAAATTGAAGTATTAAGAACAAAATACTGTTTTAAATAAGAAGGGTAATTGAAATGGATGCATTTGAATATTACTTGAAGCCAATGGCTTTGTCGTCTTATATTTAAAGAAGGCCAATTAAGGGCATGATTTTCACTCATCAGTTGCTGCCTGCCTTCTAAAACCTCCTATTTAGCGATTCTACATCCATTACAGGACGAAAGTCTGGCGTCGTTTGATTTCACACATGTGTAAAAGAAAAGCTAACGTTTCTGCACAGGATGTGTGGCGCGTTATACACCAGTGTTGCCAAGAGCGCCCTCTGGTGGACAAACTATACAACTCCAACACTCACGACATGGTTGAAGCGTGTTTCGTCCGTTTTTATTTTATTTTTGAATTGTTAATTTATCGGCTATTATAACTGCTTGGAAAATGCCTAATATGGGTCTGTCTGTAGTGTGAACACTCACCAGCAGCTCCACGAGGCTCTTGTTGGCCTCTGTGCACGCGTCTGGCAGGACAGGCTGACTGTGGAAACACTCGCCGCTGCGAACATGATGCCGGATGCTCTCTAAGGATTCACAGCACAACTCGTCTTTGCTTCTGCAGGAGGACTCGTGAACGGTACTGCCGCACATCTCCTCCGCTTTAGACGCCTATGAGAGAGAGGAAAACACCACAACTTCAGTATTAACAAGCAGAGATGCACTGGAAACAAAACGAAAATTACAATTTAGCCAGAAACCAGAGCTTTGAGCATCGTGACTTTGCAAATGTTGTTTATAAATCAAACAGCAATATTACACACTAACTAAAGTTAGAAAAGTGAAATAATCAACCACCCCGTTAACTAACAAACCTTATAGTAAAGTGTGATAACGCACTTTCATCAAAGTGCCAGATGATTAATATAATGTTTAGCCAGGTATGAATCGACAAGGCCTAACAACACTTACTATATGTAAACTCCCACAAATGGACCCCTTGTTTTTTCTTTTCTTCTTCTTATTTTTGCCGTTTGTGTTGTCTTCAGAGATGGCCCAGCACTCCACACAACTGTCCACGGCGTCCTCCTCCTTCTCCTCCGAGTGGGGACTACACGAGCATTCACCTGAAGACAGACATGCATATCGTCAGGATCACATCTCAAGTGACTATCCATAA